ACCCATCATGCTAATTGGTGTATTAAGTATAGCTAGCTATAATTCCAATGGTTTGGCTGATAAGAAAAGAAGAGCTGTTTTTACATGGCTAAAGGAGAAGGATTACATGTTTATTGTCTTCAGGAAACTCATTCAATATCTTCTAATGAAGTGGCCTGGGAAAAATTATGGAATGGTAAAATCTATTTCAGTCGGTGGGTTAAGAAATTCAAAAGGTGTTATGATCCTACACAAAAACAATTTGGATCTTGAGGTACAATATGTTCAAATAGATTGTCAAGGAAGATGGTATGCCTTGAATATACTACTTGATGATGAACAGTTATGGCTCATAATTATATATGGACCGAAGAATGACGATCCAAACTTCTTTGAAAATACACACCAAAGTTTGTGGACACCCCTTCAAATTAGTGGATTCCACTATTTCAGCCACACCCGTTGCTGACAGGTGTATAAAAAAATAAAAAATAAAAATCGAGCACACAGCTATGCATTCTCCCTAAACAAACTGGCAGTAGAATGGCCTTACTGAAGAGCTCAGTGACTTTCAACGTGGCCCTGTCATAGGATGCCACCTTTCCAGTTCATTACCAGTCAGTTCGTAACCTTTCTGCCTGCTAGAGCTGCCCGGGGCAACTGGAAGTGCTGTTATTGTGACATGGTCTAGGAGCAACAACGGCTCAGCCGCGAAGTGGTAGGCCGAACAAACTCACAGAACGGGGCCGCCGAAGTGGAAGGCCGGACAAACTCACAGAACGGGGCCGCCGAAGTGGTAGGCCGAACAAACTCACAGAACGGGGCCGCCGAAGTGGTAGGCCGAACAAACTCACAGAACGGCGCCGCCGAGTGCTGAAGCGCGTAGTGCGTAAAAATCGTCTGTCCTCTGTTGCAACACTCACTACTGAGTTCCAAACACATTGCCTCTGGAAGCAATGTCAGCACAAGAACTGTTCGTTGGGAGCTACATGAAATGGGTTTCCATGGCCCAGCAGCCGCACACAAGCCATGCGCAATGACGGGCGTTGGCTGGAGTGGTGTAAAGCACGCCGCCATTGGACTCTGGAGCAGTGCAACGCGTTCTCTGGAGTGATGAATCACGCTTCACCATCTGGCAGTCCATCGGACGAATCTGGGTTTGGCGGATGCCAGGAGAACCCTACCTGCCCCAACGCATAGTGCCAACTGTAAAGATGGTGGAGGAGGAATAATGGTCTGTGGCTGTTTTTTATGGTTCGGGCTAGGCCGGGCGTAGTTCCAGTGAAGGGAAATCTTAACGCTACAGCATACAATGACATTCTAGACCAGGGGTGTCAAACGTCCGGCCCGCGGGCCGGATCAGGCCCGCAAACGGGTTTAATCCGGCCCGCGAGATGATTTTGAAAAAAAATATATATATAAATAATAATAATAATAATAATAGTAATTTTGTAAAGTATAAAAATGCGCTGCAATTTTTCAATAAAATAAACTGCTGTTCCAATTGCGTCCACTGGATGGCGCAATAGCAATTGTGTTAAGCAAGCAAACTGTTTATACCGGGGCAGAGCAAGTAGGTCAAGCACGTGCAGCCAATGAGCTACTTTGTTTTGCCCGCGATATTTATTACGGCTTCTACTTTTAACATTATGTGCTTTGGCACCCTCATTGCCCCAATATGTCTCTGTCAAAAAAGAGAAAAGTGGACGCAGAGTGCAGAGTGTTCCAAGAAAAATGGTCATCCTATTTCTTCACGGAATTGAATGGGAAAGCTGTATGTTTGGTGTGTTCAGAGCATGTTGCAGTGCTGAAAGTATATAACCTTCGTCGCCACTATGTGAGTCTTCATGCCGACAAATATGACAACTTTCAAGGACAGCGGAGATGAGAGAAGGTGAATGAACTGTTGGCGGGTCTGAAGAAACAGCAGTCTGTGTTTACTCACATCCGAGACATCAGTGACGCTGCAGTGAAAGCTAGCTACCTCATTGCTAATGAAATCGCAGTGGCTTCAAAACCATTTAGTGAGGGTGAATTTGTAAAAACATGCATGATGAAGGCAGCGGAAATTGTGTGCCCTGAAAAGCGGCAGGCTTTTGCAAATATCAGCCTGACAAGAAACACAGTTGCAGACAGGATTTCCGATCTTTCCGTGGATTTGGACAGCCAGTTGAAGCAAAAAGTAAAGTCATTTATTGCGTTTTCGGTTGCAATTGATGAAAGCACGGACATTACAGATGTTGCACAACTGGCCATTTTCATCCGCGGAGTTGATGACACATTGACCGTCACCGAGGAGTTCGTGGAGTTGGTGCCGATGACAGATACAACGACAGCAGCTGATATTTTTACCACACTCGTCGGCGCGCTGGACAGGGTCGGAGTGGACTGGTCCTGCGCTGTCAGCCTGGCTACAGATGGTGCGCCCTCAATGATCGGGAAAAAAGCAGGCGTTGTGACAAAGTTCCGAGAGAAAGTGCAATCTGCAAATGGAGGACGTGATTTTTTGACTTTTCACTGTATTTTGCACCAGGAGGCTTTGTGTTGCAAGTCATTAAAGATGGATAACGTCATGAAGGTGGTCATCCAAACTGTTAATTTCATCCGATCCAGAAGCCTGAATCACCGTCAGTTTGACAGCCTTCTCAGAGAGAAAGACCACATCTATGGCCTGCCATACCACACGGAGGTAAGATGGTTAAGCCGAGGTGCTGTGCTGAGGCGTTTCTTTGATTTACGAGAAGAAATTGAACAGTTCATGGAAGAAAAGGGCAAACCAGTGTTAGAATTTCATTCCGCAGAATGGATGCAGGACCTTGCATTTATGGTGGATGTTACAGAGCACCTGAATAACTTGAACAAACAGCTGCAAGGGCACAACAAAGTTGTCACGCAGTATTATGACAGCATACGTTCTTTCAAGTTGAAGCTGTCATTGTGGGAGACGCAACTTGCCGGTGGTGATGCAGCTCACTTCCCCTGTCTGAAAAATGTGTGCGCGACCCAACATGTGGCAGACATGAAGCGGTTCAAAGATAAAATAACAGGACTGTTACGGGAGTTTGAGCAACGCTTTCAGATTTATGTTTATATGTTTTTATGTTGATGTGCTATTGTTTTTAATTTATTTTATTTGTATATTTAACCTATTCTTGACTCTGTGGTTCTTGCACTTGTTTGGGGAACAGGATTTCATTATTTTTATCTACATTTCTGCCTGAGAAATGACACCCTGATATAGTTCTGTGATCTGTGAAACAGTTCTGTTAATCACTGAGGCATTGTGTGTTTTTGTGTTCTTTTTCTTTAGAATTTTCAAATAAACTTGACGTGTTTTATGATTAATAGTGATGTTGTGCTTGTATTATTTTGGACACACTGTCCTCAGGCTCCAGCTTTATGTTGTATGTTGATCGTATTAAAACAAAGAAAACAATCTGAAGTTGTTGTTTTTAAGTTATATATACCATGATTTTTCCGGTCCGGCCCACTTGGGAATAGATTTTCCTCCATGTGGCCCCTGAGCTAAAATGAGTTTGACACCCCTGCTGTAGACTATTCCCAAACACCTCCCACCCCCTGCCTTGCCTTTGCTGTAGCTGTGGCGCACACCCACAGTTACAGATTTTAATTGCTGTCGCTCTTTCTCTGACGCTACTGTTGAAACTTGTTTAACTGCCTAACTGTGTTTGGCATCTGACTGGTTTATGATATTTGTTTCATGATGCATAACTATACTGAACAAAAATATAAATGCAACATGCAACAATTTCAACGAATTTACTGAGTTACAGTTCATATAAGGAAATCAGTCAATTGAAATAAATGTATTAGGCCCTAATCTATGGATTTCACATGACTGGGCAGGGGCGCAGCCATGGGTGGGCCTGGGAGGGCATAGGCCCACCCACTTGGGAGCCAGGCCCACCCATTGGGGAGCCAGGACCTGCCAATCAGAATGAGTTTTTCCACAGAAAAGGGCTTTATTACAGACAGAAATACTCCTCAGTTTCATCAGCTGTCCGGGTGGCTGGTCTCAGACGATCCCGCAGGTGAAGAAGCCGGATATGGAGGTACTGGGCTGGTGTGGTTACACGTGGTCTGCGGGTGTGAGGCCGGTTGGACGTACTGGCAAATTCTCTAAAACAAATTTTATGGTAGAGAAATGAACATTCAGTTCTCTGGCAACAGCTCTGGTGGACATTCCTGCAGTCAGCATGCCAATTGCATGCTCCCTCAAAACTTGAGACATCTGTGGCATTGTATGTGACAAAACATTTTAGAGTGGCCTTTTATTGTCCCTAGCACAAGGTGCACCTGTGTAATGATCATGCTGTTTAATCAGCTTCTTGATATGCCACACCTGTCAGGTGGATGAATTATCTTGGCAAATGAGAAATGCTCACTAACAGGGATGTAAATAAGCTTTTTGTGCATATTGAACATTTCTGGGATCTTTTATTTCAGCTCATGAAACATGGGACCAACACTTTACATGTTGCATTTATATTTGTATTCAGTATATTTTGGCCATAGTAAGTTCAGCTGTAATAATTTCATCATTATAAAGTGGCCTCATGCAAGATGTTGGCCCAAGGTTTAAGTTAAAGTTGCCTTTCTCATTTGAATATTTGCACACAATTTACCATGTTTAGAGTTTATGATTCATAGCATAATCAGGATTGGAGCGTACACACTCTAAACAGTTCCTTCATGATTTGCAAACATGGGTTGTTCTCAGTCCAGACAGGGCCTCTTGCTTCTCCTAATTAATTCCCTCATCCTCTTTCACTTCCTCCACAACTTTCCATCACAACTTTCCATCAATCTTAACTTGAAGTAAACATGCAAGCAACATTCTTGCTGCCAAAATATATCCACAATGTCATAAAAGCCAGAGGCCAGGCCGGTCTTTAAAATAAAAGGTTTATATTCAATCTAGTAAAATTTCTTCCAGATGCCTCTATCCCTATTAAATGTCTTGGTGTAGATGGATTTCAACACCTGATCGTTTGTAGCCTTTTATGATTTGGAGTAGACCCAGTTAGGTTGTCTTTTCTTGGGGATTATTCTAAATCAGCTATTTTTTCTCAGGATTTGTCCCTATGTCTCTAATCTCCCTCTCCTCTCTTCTCTCCAACCCTCTCCCCCTCTCCCCAGTATGGGATAGTCCTGGACGCAGGCTCCTCTCACACAGCTATGTACATCTACAAGTGGCCGGCAGACAAGCAGAATGGCACAGGTGTGGTCACTCAGCACACTGAATGCCATCCCAAGGGTAAGACATTGTCCCAATGGAAGGATTCTTCCAGGTGTTTGTCTGCTATTTACCAAGTGTTTACATAGAACTTACTTGGTAGAATGTAATGACATTGTTAATACTCTTTTGTTCCTTTTAAGACTTATTAAAACAAGCACTATTACAGTTTCTTACCAGTGATTAACCAGAAAGTACAGATTTACATCCAATTTATTTGTCAAATACAGACTCGAAAATGATTCTGTGTTACCCAAAACCTTAACCCCTAAAATTACAATTATACTTTTGTTGGGTACCGAGTAAGTAGAAAAAAAAGTTTTGGGCGCTCCAGTTGGCAAAGAACAGTCCCCCATTGTGTGCTGTGTTCACACCGTGTGGGTTACAGTATCTCGTCACACAAGGCTATAGATAAAGAAGCAGAAAAACATGGGTGCCTAGCAACGGTGGATGTTTCAGTAGTTCCGCAGTGACTCAGTGCACTGTGTGGTTTTCCAGTCCTGTCATGACTTACGTGTTTGAATAGATCACGGTAGTCGGCTGCTTTAATTAATGTGAAGTATTTGCAAGTACACCAGCTCTCCTAGAGTTCATGTAAACAGCACTTACATTTAAATTTTAGTCATTTAGCAGATGCTCTTATCCAGAGCGACTTACAACTAGTGTGTTCAGATCGCTAGGTCAGACAACCACATATCACAGTTATCAGCGAAGTCAGTGCTAGTAGGTTGCAGCCAGGGCGTTCAAGCAGCAACAACAACTCCTCAACAGCTCCTCCCATCTGTCCTCACCTGTACATCTGGTGCCAAGAAACAATACCTGCTTCACTTACTGTACTTTACTGTCTTTCACCAACCGCATGGGCTAAGACCTTTAAATATCCTGGGATTCTCTGACCAGTATAACATGATGGGATCTAACACTGAAGTCTAGACCTCTTCTTCCTCCTCTCTTCCTCACAGGTTATTAGAAACAAAGAGTTCAAGGGTGTTAGACTCAAGGCCAGTTGCACCGGGGCAGTTTGGTCTTGGAATTCGTCGGGCTCCAGCTAAGCTAGCTAACTGTATTGGAAAGTAGTTTGTGTGTGTTTGTGCATGTGTCTATGTGTGTGCATGTATGAGTTTTGTGTGTTGGAACATAAGCATTCCAAGGGGTGAGACTACCCAACTTCTCCCTCACAATCTAATGTGTTTAGCAGAAAGCCCTGCCTCCTGCTTCAAAGCCCCATAGAATGCAGGGTATTCTCTTGATCTGCTCTGAGTTAGGGGAAGGCATGCATGACCTGATCCCTGGGTCACTGCCTGGGCTTAAGCCTGCTGCATGAACCAGGGCATGGACACCCTGTTGAGGGGTGTTTGTCCTGCCATAAAGTGTGTCTGGGTGTTCCCGCTATGCAGGTGGAGGAATCTCTAGCTATGCGGGACGACAGGGAGAGGCAGGGAGAAGCCTCAAGTCTTGTCTGGACCAGGCCATGCTGGACATCCCCAGAGACAGGCACCACCTCACACCTGTCTACCTTGGAGCCACCGCCGGCATGAGGCTGCTCAAGTGAGTTATAGTTTGTGTATGCATGTGTGTGTGTTTACGAGTGTGAGTGCACAAGGATGTGTGTGTGTGTGTGTGTGTGTGAGCGCGCGCACCCATGGTTGTGTATGTGTATCTTTGATATGTAAACAATCAGTGGGTATGGATTTCCCACTTCGAGGCAGACAGGCAAGAACAAGCCCCCACCTTTAATATGACAAGCTCTAAGCAAACACTACCACACCTGTTTAAAACACAAGGGCTGTCATATTCCTACATTCTGTTCAAAGAAACATACACACCAGTGGAGGCTGCTGAGGGGAGGACAGCTCATAATAATGGCTAGAATGGAGTGTATTGGCTGGAATGGAGTGAATGGAATGGTATCAAACACATCCATTCTGGCCATTATTATGAGCCGTCAGCAGCCTCCACTGATACACACACATACATCATGTACACACAAAGTTATACTAAGACACTCATACCCATACAGACATGTACACATAGACATAATGTAACTATAAAGTACATTTACACACAAAGTTGCACAATAAGAGTTTCTAACCAATACAAATATTGAATTGCATCCTCGTCTTTCTCTTTGTGTTATTGCAGGGTAAAATGTGAGTCATGTTGTGGTTCTGAGATGAGTCAACAACAAGATTGAGAGATGTGCGTCTGTCTGGTTAATAGGTTATTGTTGTCAGGCTGAGTAATGTTGTTCGTTCCATACCCCCATGTTGATTCGTGCCCGTACCTACTCTTTGGTCGTCTAAAGTATCTGAAGTCGTACATTTACCTTTCTCAACAGTATCTCCAGCCCTGTCCAGTCAGCCCAGGTCTTAAAAGAAGTGGGTCAAAAAATCCAGTCCTATCCTTTTAACTACCGGGGGGCAGCCATCTTAAGTGGCCAGGAGGAGGGAGCGTACGGCTGGGTCACTGTCAACTATCTCTTGGAGAACTTCATCAAGGTACCATGGCCCAGCTTTCACCATTCTATAGTGATTTATGGTACCCCAAATAAGTGTGTATACAGTTGTTTGTAAATAAAGATCCTGCATTAACATTGCTATGGTGGTTCTAAATTGATCCCTACCTTATGCTTTTCTTTCAATGCAACCATAAGCACTTAAAAACTTAAGGATCCTGTGTTAGTTTCATTTCAAGCTTTTGTAGACATTCTTTGAAGATTGAAAGAAAATAGATTAAAGCTACCATATGACAGATTTCCACTAAGGCTGATTCTTGCGTTAGGATTAATTGGTTGAGTAGATGGCTACCTGAGGACCTCTAGTGGCAATTACAACACAGAGAACATCTGCTGAGGAGACAAGCTACCCACACACCTCTCATGTTACTTTGTTTGTCCCTGTGTGCCTGCTGCAGTATGGCTTTGTGGGCCGTTGGCTGAGCCCAGGCAGACAGACTGTGGGGGCGCTGGACTTTGGTGGGGCTTCCACCCAGATCACCTTTGTGACCAAGGACGAGGTGGAGGACAAGAGCGACAGGATGAAGTTAAGTTTGTACGGCCATGACTACTCCCTGTACACACACAGCTTCCTGTGCTACGGACGAGACCAGGTCTTCAAACGCCTACTGGCTCACTTGGTGACGGTAGGAAACATTTTGTTTGGCCACAACAACATCAGAACCACCTAAAGGTTACTTACTGTAAGCGTCACTCCACTTCACGGTCTGTTCACCCCACTATCATCCAGAAGGCGAGGTCAGTACAGGGGCATCAAAGCTGGGACCAAGAGACTGAAAAACAGCTTCTATCTCAAGACCATCAGACTGTTAAATAGCCATCACTAGCCAGCCTCCTCCACCCAGTACCCTGCCCTGAACGTAGTCACTGTCACTAGCCGGCTACCACCCGTTTACTCATCCCTGCACCTTAGAGGCTGCTGCCCTGTGTACATAGACATGGAACACTGGTCACTTTAATAATGGAACACTGGTCACTTTAGTAATGTTTACATACTGTTTTACCCATTTCATATGTACAGTGAGGGAAAAAAGTATTTGATCCCCTGCTGATTTTGTACGTTTGCCCACTGACAAAGAAATGATCAGTCTATAATTTTAATGGTAGGTTTATTTGAACAGTGAGAGACAGAATCACAACAACAAAATCCAGAAAAACACATGTAAAAAAAATTATAAATTGATTTGCATTTTAGTGAGGGAAATAAGTATTTGACCCCCTCGCACCGTGCTATGCTCTGTACTTTCCGTCTCCGTAGTGTGTGAATGTACCCTTATGCACTACAGCAAGTGCCCAGAGTCTTTCCCAGTCATGTCACATTACAAGACACCATCATAGTCTACATCAGCACCATTGAAATTAAGAAACTTTGTTATTAATCATTCATAACCCACCCACTAATATATCACCCCCAGATTGTTTTTATGTGTTGTATCTATCACAGATTTAGGTCACCATGTGTATTTGAAATTCATCCCAGGCATTAATTCCAACAATAGATCTTGGCACTCAGTACCATAGTACTCCATTTATGACTGTAGATTGCTCTCTACTTGTTATAGGAATGTGTCAAGTTACTGTAATCATTCCTCTCACACTCACTCAATCCCTCTCCCAATCTCTCTCTCTCCCAGGCTCAGGGTCACACAGGGATAATGTCCCACCCGTGCTTCCCTGCAGGCTACAGCGTCACCATGGAGGTGGGGACATTGTTTGACTCTACCTGCACGGCGGCCCAGACACCAAGCTCTGGCTACAATCCCCAGGCAACCCTGTCTGTGGAGGGCACTGGCGACTATGATCACTGCCTGGGCAACATTACTGAGATCTTCTCCTTCCACAGCTGCCCCTTCTCCCAGTGCTCCTTTGACAAGGTGTTCCAGCCCAATGTCAGTGGCAGCTTCATGGTGAGAGGCATTAGGAGGGGCCCATACAGTGGTTGAATCAACCCTAATCCTCAACCCTAAGCCTAGTTTAATGTCCACATCCTAGTTTAACCCCAACCCTAGCCTCAACCACAAACCTAACCAAGGCCTTGCTCCAGCCCTAACCCTAACTACAGTTCTGACCATAATCTGAACTCATCCTTTTTTTCTCTCTTTCTCTCCATTTGTCCACCAGGCGTTCTCAGCCTTCTTCTACATTCACCAGTTCCTACAGACTACTACAGGAATCCTTGTCACCACCCCTGCCCAACTGGAAGAGGCAGCCCGTGCTGTCTGTAACATGAGCATCAATGAGGTCAGCAGCCCTCTCTTAGTGTGTGTGTGTGTGTGTGTGTGTGTGTGTGTGTGTGTGTGTGTGTGTGTGTGTGTGTGTGTGTGTGTGTGTGTGTGTGTGTGTGTGTGTGTGTGTGTGCGTGCGCGTGTGCGTGCGTGCAAGAGAATGAGAGAGAACATTTGTGTGTGAAGGGGAGATAGCCTCCATGCATTTGAGAGACTCTGTCAGTGTTTGTATGTGTTTCTCCATTAATTATGGTTTTGTATGTATTTCTGGATGGATATCATGGCTATGTAATGCACATTTTTCTATCCTGTTTCAGATGTTGGTGCTGGCCCCAGACCAGGAGCCTCGTCTGCAAGACTTCTGTGCTGCTTCTGTCTTCACCAAGGTGCTCTTCATGAGAGGCTATGGCTTTGACGAGATCTCATTCCCCCGCATTTCTTTCCAGAAAAAGGTAAGCTTGCTTGATGGGAATATTATTTATTTCTCTATCTCCTTCTTTTACTCCACATACCAGCATAATCATTGATATTACACAAAGTGTTTGTTAGTGTTTGTAATTTACTTCTTTTTAGGCTACAGCCTCTCCATTTAAGCTTTAACCCCTAGTGCACCAAGTGCCTATCAGAATGCTCTGAGTGTATCCAGGCTGACCTGAGGTGTTTGTTTGTGATGTCACTAGGCAGGGGATGCCTCTGTGGGCTGGGCCCTGGGCTACATGCTCAGTTTGAGCAGTCTGCTGCCGGGGGAGAGCGTAGGCCTGAGGAAGGCCCTGAAACCTGGAGCCTGGGCGGCCCTGCTCTTCCTCTTCGCCCTCCTCCTCACCACCCCCCTGATGTATGTCTCCCTGCAAGTCTGCCGTAGGAAGAAGAAAGGAAGCAGTAACATTGACAGCTAATCATCATAAGGGAATCCCATTGAGGCCTTATTTCACTGGGCTTGGAGGGAAGATGGCAAACTCTTTGTGAGTGTGCTGGTGGTACTATCCTGGAGTGTGTAGATATAATGTTGGATAAAATATTGATTCTAATGTCTCTTTACATATGGATAAAAAGTGAGTCCTCCCAGGCTGTCAACACATTTTATATATCCTCGCTTAACAAATAGGGGGGTTTCTGTACAGCACGCATTGTAGGCTATAATTAATGTTCAACATCACCCTCACAACATATTTACCCAACATTTAAGTGCCATTTGTTTGTGCTTCATATTCTTTTTGTATTTTGTATTCCGATAACAAAAAATAAACTGTTTTGTTTTGTACATGAGTGCTGGTTTTTGAAGGCGTTTGTATATTGACTACTACTGACTAAAACTACAAGTACCATAATGCCATTCATCTGTATTTCCGGAAGTGTGCTACGGACCTTTTTTTCCCCACATTGATCATCGCAGGAAGAATTGTCTACTATTTCAAATTCAAGAATTATCAGCTGTGCGAGCTAGCTAAGTACGTTGCATTTCGTGGAAGTATTTGAGGGAAAGAATGTGTACTCAAACGAAGGCTGCTGCCCTTATGGCGAACATTCCAGAGGCAGAAATCGATCCGACGGGTGTGTTCAAATACGTTCTCATTCGAGTACACAGTAAAGAAGACGGCGACGACTCGAGCGTAGATATTGTACGTGGATATGCCTGGGCCGAATATCATGGTAAGAGGACCAAGAATGATGATGATTTGTCTTTCAGTTTTAGTATGATTCATGTATATGTCACTGTTCTACTAGCTACAGCCTACTACTCGTACTGTGCTGGCTGTGACGCTTGCGAGCCAGTAGGTGGGGCTTATGTCACAAACATGTCAGAGAGGTGTCAGTCAGTCCAGCCCCAACGGCACAGTGCACAGCTCAGCTGGTGTGGCGACAGAAAATACAATACATGACCAAAAGTATGTGGACACCTGCTCGTCGAACATCTCATTCCAAAATCATGGGAATTAATATGGAGTTTGTACTTCCTTTACTGCAAAATAGCCTCCACTCTTCTGGGAAGGCTTTCCACTAGATGTTGGAACACTGCTGCGGGAACTTCCATTCAGCCACAAGAACATTAGTGAGGTCTGGCACTGATGTTGGGAGATTAGGCCTGGCTCGCAGTCGGCATTCCAATTAATCCCAAAGGTGTTCGATAGGGTTGAGGTCAGGGCTCTGTGCAGGCCAGTCAAGTTCTTCCACACCGATCTCGACAAACCTCGCATTGTGCACAGGGCCAGATTCGTCCGTCTGACTGACAGATGCTGACGCGTGATTCATCACTCCAGAGAGGCGAGCTTTACACCACTCCAGCCGACATTTGGCATTGTGCATGGTGATCTTAGGCTTGTGTGCAGCTGCTCGGCCATGGAAACCCATTTCAGGAAGCTCCCGACAAACAATTATTGTGCTGATGTTGCATCCAAAGGCAGTTTGGAACTAGGTAGTGAGTGTTGCAATCGAGGACAAACGATTTCTACACCCTTCAGCACTCGGCAGCCCCATTCTGTGAGCTTGTGTGGCCTACCACTTAGCGGCTGAGCCGTTGTTGCTCCTAGACGTTTCCACTTCACAATAACAGCACTTACAGTTGACCGGGGCAGCTCTAGCAGGGCAGAAATTTGACGAACTGACTTGTTGGAAAAGTGGCATCCTATGACGGTGCCACGTTGAAAGTCACATATTTTTTTCAGTAAGGCCATTCTACTGCCAATGTTTGTCTATGGAGATTGCACGTCTATGTGCTCGATTTTATACTCCTGTCAGCAACGGGTGTGGCTGAAATAGCCAAATCCACTAATTTGAAGGGGTGTCCACATACTTTTGCATATATAGTGTACATTCCTCCTACAAAAAAGAACACACTTTCACTGGTTTATTTTGCACCTCACAGTGCTTTGAAATATTGTGTATTTTGAGTATTTCCAAAAGACGCGTTATGAAACTTTGAGTACATTAATGTTTTTGTCACTGCAGCCGATATCTATGACAAGGTAGCAGAGGAGCTTGAGAAAGGAGGGCACCTGGACTGTGAATGTATTGGAGGAGGAAGGATTAAGCATGACTGCCAGTCAAAGAAGATCCACGTCTATGGCTACTCCATGGTAAGAGAATGCAGAATAGTGTTGTTATTTCAGTGGAACTCATGTACGCCTATTGTTTGGGTCTTCCTTGATTCATTTTCTGATATTGCATGACAGATATTACATCTCTTGAGGTTCGTTATTTCGTAGCAGCCAATTTATCCTTTCAATTGCCTTCTTGTTCTTTGCAGGGCTTTGGCAAAGCAAATCACGCTGTTTCCACAGAGAAACTGAAGGTGCGCTATCCTAAATACGAGATCACCTGGGCTGATGAGGGATACTGACCTACACTGGACCCACTCTCTGTGCTTGGACCTGGTTCAGGCCTAACTCCTTCCTGAGTGTGGGCCAACAGAACACCGCAAAACCTCAGTGGCATCGCATTATGTGACATCTGAAGACAAACCTGTCGGTACAAAGCTGGGACTAAGATTTACACATTACCTAGTTCAGCGTTTCCCAAACTCAGTCCTAGGGACCCCAAGGTGTGCTTATTTTGTTTTTTTGCCTTAGTATTACACAGCTTATTCAAATTATCAAATCATCATCAAGCTTTGTTTATTTGAATCAGCTGTGTAGTGCTGGGGTAAAATGTTTGGGAAATGCTGACCTAGTTGCTGACTAATATACCCAGAACAGTGCTTGATTTTGTATTTTGTTTCAGTGAAACAATACATGGAAAACATATTACTTAACAGGAATCTTTTTATGTTTAACAATAAAACTAATAAATGTTTACATTGATTTAATAAATTGTAATGTATGCTTTATTAGCATGAAGTCATGTTAGTAAGGACATTTATATCATTCAATACCGCTACCTGAAAAGGAATGGGTATGAAATTCCATCTCCGGTCATGGAGTCATAAAACCATTATGTTGAGCAATGTGGTTCAATATAGGGGAAATAAAACACTCTAAAATAGCTCCCTCCGGTTTCAGACCAGAAAAACTCATCTGTCATTGCTTTTCTGTCTACTTTATCTCACTGTGTATCTAACTACAGGAAGTTCATATGGTTTTGGCAGCCACTAAACCTCAAATTGCTGATCAACTGCTACGTGAGTGATCATAAATGTGGCTATCAGATAAGGTCAGGTGAACTCATTGATCTAAAATGCATTGACTTCCGATGTTGCCATACGGTGGTATAGTGGAGGGTAAACGTTGTGTAGCCACTTTTTTTTTTGCCCAACATTTTCCCCACCTTTTGCAGAAAAATGCATTGAAAATATAGGGAGTGTTACTTTTTACACCGCGATCAGAGTTTACCCACCTACAGTGAAGGAAAAAAGTTTTTGATCCCCTGCTGATTTTGTACGTTTGCCCACTGACAAAGACATGATCAGTCTATCATTTTAATGGTAGGTTTATTTGAACAGTGAGAGACAGAATAACAACAAAAAAATCCAGAAAAAAGCATGTCAAAAATGTTATAAATTGATTTGCACTTTAATGAGGGAAATAAGTATTTGACCCCTCTGCAAAACATGACTTAGTACTTGGTGGCAAAACCCTTGTTGGCAATCACAGAGGTCAGACGTTTCTTGTAGTTGGCCACCAGGTTTGCACACATCTCAGGACGGATTTTGTCCACTCCTCTTTGCAGATCTTCTCCAAGTCATTAAGGTTTCGAGGCTGACGTTTGGCAACTCGAACCTTCAGCTCCCTCCACAGATTTTCTATGGGATTAAGGTCTGGAGACTGGCTAGGCCACTCCAGGACCTTAATGTGCTTCTTCTTGAGCCACTCCTTTGTTGCCTTGGCCGTGTGTTTTGGGTCATTGTCACGCTGGAATACCCATCCACGACCCATTTTCAATGACCTGCCTGAGGGAAGGAGGTTCTCACCCAAGATTTGACGGTACATGGCCCCGTCCATCGTCCCTTTGATGCGGTGAAGTTGTCCTGTCCCCTTAGCAGAAAAACACCCCCAAAGCATAATGTTTCCAACTCCATGTTTGACGGTGGGGATGGTGTTCTTGGGGTCATAGGCAGCATTCCTCCTCCTCCAAACACGGCGAGTTGAGTTGATGCCAAAGAGCTCAATTTTGGTCTCATCTGACCACAACACTTTCACCCAGTTCTCCTCTGAATCATTCAGATGTTCATTGACAAACTTCAGACGGCCCTGTATATGTACTTTCTTGAACAGGGGGACCTTGCGGACGCTGCAGGATTTCAGTCCTTCACGGCGTAGTGTGTTACCAATTGTTTTCTTGGTGACTATGGTCCCAGCTGCCTTGAGATCATTGACAAGATCCTCCCGTGTAGTTCTGGGCTGATTCCTCACCGTTCTCATGATCATTGCAACTCCACGAGGTGAGATCTTGCATGGAGCCCCAGGCCGAGGGAGATTGACAGTTCTTTTGTGTTTCCCCCATTTGCATATAATCGCACCAACTGTTGTCACCTTCTCACCAAGCTGCTTGGCGATGGTCTTGCAGCCCATTCCAGCCTTGTGTAGGTCTACAATCTTGTCCCTGACATCCTTGGAGAGCTCTTTGGTCTTGGCCATGTGGAGAGTTTGGAATCTGATTGATTGATTGCTTCTGTGGACAGGTGTCTTTTATACAGGTAACAAACTGAGATTAGGAGCACTCCCTTTAAGAGTGTGCTCCTAGTCTCAGCTCGTTACCTGCATAAAAGACACCTGGGAGCCAGAAATCTTTCTGATTGAGAGGGGGTCAAATACTTATTTCCCTCGTTAAAATACAAATCAATTTATAACAGTTTTGACATGCGTTTTTCTGGATTTTTTGTTGTTATTCTGTCTCTCACTGTTCAAATAAACCTACCATTAAAATTATAGACTGATCATTTCTTTGTCAGTGGGCAAACGTACAAAATCAGCAGGGGATCAAATACTTTTTTCCCTCACTGTATTGTTTTTACCACTACATCACTGTATACATACAGTATACTGCAAGTCTACACTCAATCAAGTACCTAAAATATACCTCCATGTCAGTATGTGTTACTGCCAATTAAATTATGTATCTATAGCTAATGTACAGTATTAATGTCACACAAGTTTGATACTTTCATAAAGGTATACATTGCAAATTAGTATCCTATTCAGGCATTCAGTTTTCAGTGCCTCGACTTCTACATGCTCATAAGAGCCAAGTTTCTACATGGCACCTTTGCAGTGCTCAGTGTCATGAAGAGGAATTCAAGACCTTTGATGAATGCATTCAGCCACAATATTTAGTCCTGTGTTCAGTAAAGTATCTTTCAACATAGAATGTGCTGTTTTATGACTGAAGGCTCTGACCGATGCAGGTGGGTTTAAAGTCTAGCTGTTATCTATCAGTAGGAGGGAGAGCAGAGCAGAGGAGGTCACAGGTAGACAGTGGCTGTTATCACAGTCTAATAGGTGACTGGTGGTGTTCAGACCTTCTCCACAGCTCCAGGCGAAAGAGAAGGGTAACATGGGATTAAACAGACGGTTTTCAGCCCTGGTTCTACTGACGTTTCACTGCGGTAAGAACATTGACACTGTAGTCTTCATGCAATACTGTGTAGGCTAGTGTTTACTGAACTCACTGTCCGTGTCAGAGCAACAAGGACACATTTTTCATTCACAGTTATCAAGGAAGTGCAATATCGTATTTGTTTTTGACTTGAACTAGGCTGTGTAGATCACAGGTGCATGATAAACCTAGGTCATGTGGCTTCAAAAGGTACTGCTACCACGAAAACCGTTATTTATTGTGTACAGTGTTACTTTATGGACTCTTGTGGCATGGATTCTGTAATACCTGCTATCAGGGACCTTGGGTTGAACAACATTTACCTTTACCAGATTACTGCACTGTATGGTCTTTGAGCCTGCTAACATTAGCAGCCTCATTAAACTTAGATTGGAATGGGTTCTGATAAGAGTGGAATTAAAGGGTGAGTTACCGCCCAGGCAATTCTTGCACGTATTCAGGTCCAAGAGTGGAAGATCCTACTGGGGCATTTATGCAATTGGCCACTTAAAAAGACAGAAAAATGTATGCTAAAATCACACTGCTACTGTAGATGGAGATTCTTTTCAACATCAATGATGAGTCTGTTGTTTTGCAGCAATTGGCTCACAGACACTTGCATGCCAGACCCCAGAGCTGAAGTGTGACTTTGTGTGTGACTGCACAGACTGCAGCGATGAGGACGGCTGTGGTAAGACTCCCTCTGCTCTGACTAAGCCAGACAAGTCACTACGTATCAATTATAGTACCTGTGCTCCACTGACAATGCACATTTGCCACTGAACACCAATCATGCCATTTACCAAACGTTATGTTATATCACTAGAACGGGATGGAAAAAGTTCAAGGTCAAGAATAACCCATTTCCAAGAACACACACTGCCAGACCATAGAACACACAGCTCCCTCAGACCAACAAATTGCAATGCAAGCTTTAGATTTTTAAGTGATGCCTGCCTGCTTGCCTGTCTGTCTGCCTGTCTGTATCATGCGTGTTGGTGTGAAACCCCAGGCTACAGAGGGACGGACTTTGTGTGTGACTTTGAGGACCCATACCTGTGTGGCTGGCAGGACCTGTCCTTGGAGAAGGCCTACTCCTGGGAGAGGCGTCAGAGAGGGGACACGCTGCCGGACAGCGGACCCTCCTCAGACTTCACCATTGGGACAGCCACAGGTACACTCTCCACAGTACTAGCACACACGGATATGTACTCAGTGCTTATGCACACTCCTGCTCTCCCAGTCAATTTACACAAGTAGAAAAACACAGGGCTAAGAAGGTTTGTGTAATACACTACTAAAAATGGTCATTCACATCTTCTAGTTGTGTGTGGGAGATTATGCAATGTTGTGTGTTGTGTTTTCAGGTTGGTTTATGGGAGTGACCGAAGTGAAGGCACACTCTCCCAGCACTGCAGTGATGGCATCTCCCACGATGAAACAGTCTTCTCCCTCATGCCGAATGCACCTCAGATACTTCCTCTGGGACCCAGGTAACACAATAGCATTACGATAGCAAGGTTTTTACAGTAATACTTAGCTAGTTTTTCTGATCAGTTTTAGCATCTAGCCGCTGTCTAGAATGAGGTCACTTCCCTCAAATTCTAACCTTTATACGTTGATTATTATCAGGGTACACAGGGCTGGGGCCTGCCCCATTGTTGGCCTCTGTGTATAGGGAGGACAGCACCCAGCAGGCAGTGGTGTGGCGTCCTGAGAGCACCAGCGTGCGTGGCTGGAGGGAGGCAACCGTCTTCCTGGGACACATCCCCACCGCCTTCCAGATCCGCCTCCACTCCCAACGCACCGAGGGGCGCCGCGGAGACGTGGCTATAGACCAGCTGCAGTTCCTGGACTGTGCCCTGCCTCGTGAGTCTCTCTCTTTTTCTGTCTTTTGATTCCTCTGTTTCTTTATGTTCTCTTCCTCAGATCTGTTATTCTGCGTCAGTGTGTTAACGTCACTTTGAGTTTAGAGAGATTACTCTGTTTTCTCAGATACGCTCTATTTTCTCTCTCTTTTTTCTCTTTCTCTCTCTCTCTTTCCACCTCTACCTCTACCTCTCTCTCTCAGTGCCAGTCCCAGGGGAGTCGTGTGCTGCGGGGTTACTGGAGTGTAACAGGGAGGGCTGTGTGGAGCAGCGTCAGGTCTGTGACGGCACTGATGACTGTGGTGACAAAACTGACGAGCAGAATTGTGGTGAGAGACAACTTATTCCATCCTTATTTTAACCCTCTTCCACTATTTTTATGAACTCTGTGTGGCTCTGTGTGTTTAGGAGGCTACTGGGGCTGTGACTTTGAGGACGGAGTGTGTAACTGGGACCTGAGGACTATCTCCACTGGTCTGAAGTGGACAAGGACCAGTCAGGCCAACATCTCCATGACAGACCCTTTTAAAGGACCCGGTAGAGACCATTCCAACAATACTGCATCGGGTACAAGCTCAATGTCATTTTAGAAACATATTAATCATTGTTCTGTCCTGATTTTATTCCTCAGTGAGATGTCTTCAACTTGTGTTATTGCCCTAAAGGTCACTTCCTGTATGTCACTGTACCTGAAGGCGGGCTCAAATCTGATTGGACATCCTTTCAAAGCCCTCTTCTGGAACCCACCAATAGCACACATCCTTGCAAGGTATGCACTAAGGCACAACATGGCTTCTCCAAAACACCCCTCTATCATGCTGTCTCCACACACACACATGGCTTCTACCTTGGCAGGCCGGTCTTTTGAACTTTATACACACATTTACATTTTCGTAATTTAACAGACGCTCTTATCCAGAGCGACTTACAAGAACAATTAGGCTTTGGTGCCTTGCTCAAGGGCACATCAACAGATTTTTTACCTAGTCGACTCGGGGATTCAAACCAGCAACATTTTGGTTACTGGTGTAAGGCTACCTAACGAACATTACACACACACACTCACACACACACACACTCACACACACTATATCACACAAACTCACACACTATATCATCAGTTGACCAACTTGCAGCTGATAACCAGTCATACAATCATCACTCTGACAGTCATCATATTGCTAACCTCTCAGTCAAGGTAACAATAGTTGAATCCATCATTATGTTCACTATAATGACTAATTTACTTCAGTCTGTAAAGGGATAGACACTTGTCTTTAATGTGAACAAAAACACCTAAATGAATGTCATGTCTGCCCTGTAGATGGTGATGTACAGCCACCAGTTTGGGCCCAGGTCTGGAGGCCTGTCTGTGCTGGTGGCAGACACTGATATCTACCCGGTGTGGCAGAGGGGGGGTGCCCTGGGGGACCTCTGGGTCAAGGCTGAGGTGGAGATCATTACCAACACCAGCTTCCAGGTGAGTGGACTGGATAAGGCTGGGTGGACATAAGCAAAGCGTGGACATATGCTCCAGATGCTTTTCCAGATGCTCAAAGTGCTTTACATTAGATGAGGGACAGTATTGGTATAAGAGCCTGTTGAATACTGACCACCTTTTCATTTGCATATTGCTCTCTTTCTCCTTTTAATGACTTTCATCTGTCTTAGCTTGTGTTTGTGGCTGCGATCCGAGACAAGGAGTATGGAGGGGTTGCTATAGATAGCATAATGATGTCTCCTAACTGCCGCCTCTCTAAAGGTGAACCAAATAAACACATACTAGGAAGGTCTTTTTTGAATCACACAATGTATACAGAACTGAACTACTAATAATGTTAACCAACAGCACAGTGCAATATGGTCATTACATAGCATGTATACTGTATCTATTTACCCGCTTACTCTGTCCCTTTCCCACCTCTCCTCTTGCAGGAAATGTCACATTAGCAAATTTCCCCAAACCTCCTGGGCATCCTTGCACTGGCGATACCAGTAAGATATGTGACTTTCATGAAGACTGTGCGGATAAAGATGACGAGGCCAAGTGTGGTGAGTACTCTGGGTTTACAATGTTTGTATTATTGTAGGTGTATTATGTTTGTGTTATTTGTCTCATGATTCTGAGTGTGAATCTGCATGTTCTTAGTGGCTGTGTGTGTGTTTGTGTAGGGGACTTCTCCTATGAGAAGGGCAGCTCTGGATGGACAGACAGCAGCATTGGAAGCCAGCAGTGGGTGCTGAATGACACCAACAAAGGTAACTTTTGGACAGCGGTGTGTGTGCGTGCATGCATGCTTGTGTGTGCTATGCATATCAAGATACTATAAGGTATGAGTGGCCATATCTGGTCAGCTGTACATTTTGTTTAGTTTGTTTTTAAGTATAGTGACAGACCACCTCTCTCTCTCTGCCCTCAGTCAAGTACCTGTATGTAGCTAAAGCCCCAGGGCAGCAGTTGACTGATGCCCAGACACGCACCCCTCTCCTGGGCCCCTCGGGGCCAGCCTGCACCCTCAACTTCTCCTACTCCCTGACCAGCAAGAGCAATCACACCGGTAACACAGCCTCAGCCACCTGCAGGCAAACCCTAACAATCACCTTAACCAAAACCTATGTCCCTCCTACAGTTCAGGACATCTGCCGCTCCTTGTCTTTACCTCTGCCTCTTTGTTCCCCTCTCTCTCCCCTAGGTGAGCTGTCCATCCGGGTGATTGACAGTCTGTTGGGCAGTCAGCCCAGGCTGTGGGAGTTCAGTGGGAAAACAGGATCCGTAGAGGGGGTGTACCAGCAGGCGCAGGTGTACATCGGAGCCAGGGATCACCGCTTCCAGGTATGATACCTTCAGGACATTCTTATGGTTTGGTTTGGGGGACCTTGTTTGAAGCCAGTAATCATCTTGTATCATCTACTGTAGTAAATGTATTCCTTTTTTGATGCTGTGGTTACTCTTTCTGGTATTTACTCTTTCTTTCACTCCACCTCTCTTTCCGAGATGGAATTTTCGGCTCGTGCTAGGAAGCTGTGCCCATGTGCCAGAATAACAGTGAAGGATGTTCGTTTCATCAACTGTCATGCTCAGTATTTCCCATCCTCTCCCACAGGTAAGCAATTTATGTTTCAGTTTGAACAAATATAGTTTTTATTGTGATCATTTGGTATATCACACACATCCTGTCAATATATAGTATTTTATTTTGTTGATTTTCTGCTGATATATGATTTGTTTCTTCTGGACAGATCTGTCATGTAACTTTGAAGAGGGACTGTGTGGCTGGTACCAGGATCAAACTGACAACTTTGACTGGAGCCTGCTCACAGGGATGGACCATTCCATTGGCGTCGGTACTAAAATGACCTTGCGTAGTCAGCTAGGATCACATAACCACTTACCAGTTTTACATTCTAAACATGTCATACTTCTCACATAGTAGCATTACTCCAAGTGTTCTCTGCTCTCTATGTAACCAATGGACCTGATCATTAAGTCATTAGATGTCTATAACACCTTAATTAATCATATCTTTGATTATAGGTAAAAGCCTTGCTGTAGACGTATGGAGCCCCTTGTTACGGGGTGTGTCTGGCCGTCTGTTATCGTACAGTCTGCCAGGCACCTCCGGACATCACTGCCTGTCCTTCTATTATAAGCTCTACGGGCCTGAGACAGGTGAGGATGAAGGGCTCTTCTTGACGTCCATAACTAACAGTTACAGTAACTAAAGAGTCACTCCTGAACAAAATGTAAACTGCTCTCCACGCCTTATTTCTATCTCCCTGTTCTCTTCCTCACATCCTCTTCATATGTTTTTACTCCTTCTCTCTCAACACCCCTACCCTCCGTCTACCCCCTCTCTCTATCCCTCTCAGGTGCACTCAGTGTTAAGATGCGTGATGCCTACGGCGTTGAGAGTCTGCTATGGATTCGCAGCGGTGCCCATGGCAACATCTGGCATGAGGGACACTGTCCAGTATCTGAGCAGCTAACTAGCTTCCAGGTAAGAGTGGGTTCAATACAGGTTTTAGGTCCAGTGACACATAAACATTCTTAATAACAAAAAGAGAATATGTCTGTTCATGTTGACATTGATATGACACTTCCATTTCTCCCCACCCCTGCTCCCCTCTCCTTCTTCCTCTCTGATTCACAAACACACACAGTTGATGTTTGAAGCAGTGCGCTCCGGCTTTGACGGGCGGTTGGCGCTAGATGACTTGGCATTTGTGAACCGCCCATGCACCGTGCCCAATATGTGCTCCTTTGAGGGCCAGCACTGCGGCTACACCACCACTGGCACTGCCCGCTGGCTCCACACTAACTGGCAGTCCTCCAACACTGGGCCCAAAACAGACCACACACTGGAGACGGTGATGGGTGAGAGATAGAGAGAGAGAAAAATTAATAGAGAGCCTTTGAGTGTATTTGTATTTATTATGGATCCCCATTAGTTCCTGCCAAGGCAGCAGCTACTCTTTCTGGGGTCTGGCAAAATTAAGGCAGTTATACAATTTTAAAAATACACTGTTCAAAAAAATAAAGGGAACACTTAAACAACACAATGTAACTCCAAGTCAATCACACTTCTGTGAAATCAAACTGTCCACTTAGGAAGCAACACTGATTGACAATAAATTTCACATGCTGTTGTGCAAATGGAATAGACAACAGGTGGAGATTATAGGCAATTAGCAAGACACCCCCAATAAAGAAGTGGTTCTGCAGGTGGTGACCACAGACCACTTCTCAGTTCCTATGCTTCCTGGCTGATGTTTTGGTCACTTTTGAATGCTGGCGGTGCTTTCACTCTAGTGGTAGCATGAGACGGAGTCTACAACCCACACAAGTGGCTCAGGTAGTGCAGCTCATCCAGGATGGCACATCAATGCGAGCTGTGGCAAGAAGGTTTGCTGTGTCTGTCAGCGTAGTGTCCAGAGCATGGAGGCGCTACCAGGAGTCAGGCCAGTACATCAGGAGATGTGGAGGAGGCCGTAGGAGGGCAACAACCCAGCAGCAGGACTGCTACCTCCGCCTTTGTGCAAGGAGGAGCAGGAGGAGCACTGCCAGAGCCCTGCAAAATGACCTCCAGCAGGCCACAAATGTGCAAGTGTCTGCTCAAACGGTCATAAACAGACTCCATGAGGATGGTATGAGGGCCCGACGTCCACAGGTGGGGGTTGTGCTTACAGCCCAACACCGTGCAGGACGTTTGGCATTTGCCAGAGAACACCAAGATTGGCAAATTCGCCACTTGGGCCCTGTGCTCTTCACAGATGAAAGCAGGTTCACACTGAGCACATGTGACAGACGTGACAGAGTCTGGAGACGCCGTGGAGAACGTTCTGCTGCCTGCAACATCCTCCAGCATGACCGGTTTGGCGGTGGGTCAGTCATGGTGTGGGGTGGCATTTCTTTGGGGGGCTGCACAGCCCTCCATGTGCTCGCCAGAGGTAGCCTGACTGCCATTAGGTACCGAGATGAGATCCTCAGACCCCTTGTGAGACCATATGCTGGTGCGGTTGGCCCTAGGTTCCTCCTAATGCAAGACTATGCTAGACCTCATGTGGCTGGAGTGTGTCAGCAGTTCCTGCAAGAGGAAGGCATTGATGCTATGGACTGGCCCGCCCGTTTCCCAGACCTGAATCCAATTGAGCACATCTGGGACATCATGTCTCACTCCATCCACCAACGCCACGTTGCACCACAGACTGTCCAGGAGTTGGCGGATGCTTTAGTCCAGGTCTGGGAGGAGATCCCTCAGGAGACCATCCGCCACCTCATCAGGAGCATGCCCAGGCGTTGTAGGGAGGTCATACAGGCACGTGGAGGCCACACACACTACTGAGCCTCATTTTGACTTGTTTTAAGGACATTACATCAAAGTTGGATCAGCCTGTAGTGTGGTTTTCCACTTTAATTTTGAGGGTGACACCAAATCCAGACCTCCATGGGTTGATACATTTGATTTCCATTGATCATTTTTGTGTGATTTTGTTGTCAGCACATTCAACTATATAAAGAAAAAAGTATTTCATAAGATTATTTCATTCATTCAGATCTAGGATGTGTTGTTTAAGTGTTCCCTTTATTTTTTTGAGCAGTGTATTACAATACATTCATAACAGATTTCACAACTCACTAAGTGTGTGCCCTCAGGCCCCTACTCCACTACCACATATCAACAACACAAAATACATGTGTACATGTGTGTATAGTGCGTATGTTATCATGTGTGTGTATGCATGTGTCTGCACCTATGTTTGTGTTGCTTCACAGTCCCCGCTGTTCCATAAGGTGTATTTTTATCTGTTTCTTAAATCTGATTCTACTGCTTGCATCAGTTACCTGATGTGGAATAGAGTTCCATGTAGTCATGGCTCTATGTAGTACTGTGCTCCTCACATAGTCTGTTCTGGACTTGGGGACTGTGAAGAGACCTCTGGTGGCATGTCTTGTGGGGTATGCATGGGTGTCTGAGCTGTGTGCTAGTTGTTTAAACTGACAGCTCGATGCTTTCAACATGTCAATACCTCTCACAAATACAAGTAGTGAGAGATACAGAGAAACATGGAATCTTCTTAAACATATCCTATTGTTGTTCCTTAGGGTACTACATGATGGCAGACAGTGATGTGGAGATCCTACCACAGGGCAGTGTGGCCACCCTTACATCTCCTGTGCGAGTAGGCGTGGCACAAACAGAGTGTGTTCACTTCTGGTACCACATGGGGGGAGAGAATCCTGGTGAGTATATACCTTTTACAGTACATACCCACCCTCAATCACACATAAAACGTTGCATGCTGGGGCCTCCCGAGTGGCGCAGCGATCTAAGGCACTGCATCGCAGTGCTTGAGGTGTCACTACAGACCCGGGTTTGATCCCAGGCTGTGTCACAGCCGGCCGTGACCGGAGACCCATGAGGCGGCGGAGAATTGGCTCAGCGTCATCTGGGTTAGGGAAGGGTTTGGCCGGCTGGGATTTCCTTGTCCCATCGCGCTCTAGAGAGTCCTTGTGGCAGGCTGGGCGAAGCTGACTTCGGTCGCGAGTTTTCTCCGACACATTGGTGCGGCTGACTTCCGGGTTAAGCGAGCAGTGAGTCAAGAAGCAGTGTAGCTTGGCAGGGTCTTGTTTCGGAGGACACATGGCTCTCGACCTTCGCCTCTCCTTAGTCCGTACGGGAGTTGCAGCGATGGGGCAAGACTTTAACTACCAATTGGATATCACGAAATTGGGGAGAAAAAGGGGTAAAAGTACAAAGAAATTACAAAACTTTGCATGCTTGTACACAAACCCATACAGTGTCTTGCAAAAGTATTCATCCCCCTTGGCGTTTTTCCTATTTTGTTGCATTACAACCTGTAATTTAAATGGATTTTTATTTGGATTTCATGTAATGGACATACACAAAATAGTTAAAATTGGTGAAGTGAAATGAAAAAAATTACTTTTTTCAAAAAATTCAAACAAATAAATAACGGAAAAGTGGTGCGTATTCACCCCCTTTGCTATGAAGCCCCTACATAAGATCTGGTGCAACCAATTACCTTCAGAAGTCACATAATTAGTTTTAAAAAGTCCACCTGTGTGCAATCGAAGTGTCACATGATCTGTCACATGATCTCAGTATATATATACCTGTTCTGAAATGCCCCAGAGTCTGCAACACCACTAAGCAAGGGGCACCACCAAGCAAACGGCGCCATGAATACCAAGGAGCTCTCCAAACAGGTCAGGGACAAAGTTGTGGAGAAGTACAGATCAGGGTTGGGTTATAAAAAAATATCAGAAACTTTGAACATCATACGGAACAGCATTAAATCCATTATTAAAAAATGGAAAGAATATGGCACCCCAACAAACCTGCCAAGAGAGGGCCGCCCACCAAAACTCACAGACCAGGCAAGGATTAATCAGAGAGGCAACAAAGAGACCAAAGATAACCCTGAAGGAGCTGCAAAGCTCCACAGCGAAGATTGGAGTATCTGTCCATAGGACCACTTTAAGCCGTACACTCCACAGAGCTGGGCTTTACGGAAGAGTGGCCAGAAAAAAAGCCATTGCTTAAAGAAATAAATAAGCAAACACGTTTGGTGTTCGCCAAAAGCCATGTGGGAGACTCCCCAAACATATGGAAGAAGGTACTCTGGTCAGATGAGACTAAAATTTAGCTTTTTGGCCATCAAGGAAAACGCTATGTCTGGCGCAAACCGAACACCTCTCATCACCATGAGAACACCATCCCCACAGTGAAGCATGGTGGTGGCAGCATCATGCTGTGGGGATGTTTTTCATCGGCAGAGACTGGGAAACTGGTCAGAATTGAAGGGATGACGGATGGCGCTAAATACCGGGAAATTTTTGAGGGAAACCTGTTTCAGTCTTCCAGATTTGAGACTGGGACGGAGGTTCACCTTCCAGCAGCACAATGACCCTAAGCATACTGCTAAAGCAACACTCGAGTGGTTTAAGGGGAAACATTTAAATGTCTTGGAATGGCCTAGTCAAAGCCCAGACCTCAATCCAATTGAGAATCTGTGGTATGACTTAAAGATTGCTGTACACCAGCAGAACCCATCCAACTTGAAGGAGCTGGAGCAGTTTTGCCTTGAAGAATGGGCAAAAATCCCAGTGGCTAGATGTGCCAAGCTTATAGAGACATACCCCAAGAGACTTGCAGCTGTAATTGCTGCAAAAGGTAGCTCTACAAAGTATTGACTTTGGGGGGGGTGAATAGTTATGCACGCTTAAGTTTTCTGTTTTTTTGTCTTATTTCTTGTTTGTTTCACCCCAAAAAATATTTTGCATCTTGAAAGTGGTAGGCATGTTGTGTAAATCAAATGATACAAACCCCCTAACAGTCCATTTTAATTCCAGGTTGTAAGGCAACAAAATAGGAAAAATGCCAAGGGGGGTGAATACTTTCGCAAGCCACTGCCACTGCTCTGACATTAGTGTGTGTGTGTTCGATTTTAGGTTTGCTGACTGTGTACATGAAGCCAGATGAACAGGAGAAGTTGGGCCTGAGACCAACACCAGACAGACTGGCAGGC